TTGTCAGAACAAAATTACTCTTGAAAACGTCTGACAGTATGATTTAGTGAGGATTTAAAGGATAGTACCAATCCTAACTTCAAGATAACAAATTATGTTATTGCAGCCTTTTTCATACAGGTTTGACATACAAAACCCACCCAATCTGTCTTTGCCCAGAAAGCAGTGACCAAGCAACAGCATGTCTTTCCACAACACTTTGAGTAGAGGACAATGTTCCAAATACAGAGAGTGAAGCCAAATATGTTGGACAAATAAACTCATTCCATATTAATTGTATAATGTATGTACATAATTGACTCTTCATCTGTGTTTGTTGGGAAAATACTTTTAAGATTTAGACTTATTTATAAACATATGTTTTGATGCGGTGCAAGTGATCGAGAGCCAGGCAAGGCTAAACACTTCCATTACAGTTTCTCTTCTCTCTGTGAATAAATGACTTTAAAGAAGAAAAAAAAATCTGTGATGTCCATTCTTGTATAAATTTGTCCACAGAGAATTTTGCAAACAACAATAACCTCAAGGACATTGTAAAGCTTCCTGTCAGCTTTGGGGACCTTGGAATTTATAAAATGTCACTCAGAGGTGCTTGGAACATTTAACCTTGAAGCAGCAATTGGTGGGTTACATTTATCATCTGTTTTACACCAACACACACTTAATATAGTGACAGTAAAGGCACTTAACTTTAGGTGATGCACTAACTTTATTCTGTGTCAGACTTGACCAGTAAGTAACAGATGGCACAGACCTTAAATGCCCAGTTCTGGCTATGACAGCTCATTACAGAAATATGATGTAAACTTTTTATAAATTAGAAAATTTGGAAAATACAGTCACATAGAAATCTTTTAAAAAAGTCTTTAACTGTAAAAAGGCAGCAATCATCAGCAATCCATTATAAGTAATTCAGTCTTCACTCAGGACAAAGCAAAGAATTGCAGAAACAATGCAACCACTTAAAAGTGAAAATGGTTATGTTTGTGTAATGTTCAACAAAGAAATATACCATCTGCTTCATATGAATCTTCAGTGGTTCTTTAAAGTGCTTTGTCTGTTTCTTTCATCACAGATCTGAAAAGCATGTCTTCATGTGTGTGTCCTTGTGGTGAAGAGGCTGGTGCATTCAAATCACCTGTCCAGACAGCTCTGTGTGTGGAGCCTGAACACCTGTTTTTGTGGACCAGGTGTCTTGAACTGTTGGTGTGCTGTTTCAACAACTTCAGGGGTCAGAGTACCTGTGCTTTAACCTTCGTAGTTTTCATTAACATATTTAGTTTGAAGCAAATTGCACACTAATAGAACAACATGGATGTGGCATATTGAAACCTGCATTTGACACTCAGCATAACACATACAGAGAGTAAATAGTGAATGTCAAAGTTGTTTCCTTCCATGTAACTGTATAGTACTGCAAGATGACATTTGCATCTTATGACTTAAACAGTGAGGAGTACTGTAGCTGTAGCACTAGAGCTTGACAGCTAGAAACTGTCACTTATATCAGGATATCTACAGCCTATTCTGTTCATAATACACATCTAATTTATTTGCTGTTGTCTCACGTTACAACTTGAGAAAGGAGAAGGCACAACGCTAAGACTTGCATCAAGATGATTATGCATAAAGACTGTTTGCATTGTTCTGATATTTGTATTGATAATTTAAGTGTGGACATACTGTAAAAAGTAGTAATAGAATTGACAAGTTTAAACATAAATATAAAGGTATGTGTCAAACAAGATATATGCAAGAACAGGCTTAATGATTAATTACATGGACAATTGTGGGTGTGGTGTACATTTTGTAATCGTTCTTTAGTATATTACTTGTGTGATGTAAGAATGTTAACACTGTTATAATCTTTTTTTAGTATAATATGTGTGTGTGCAGAAGTGAATCATTTACTGCTTGCAAACAAATGATGGTAAGATGATGTTATGGGGTAGGACTGGATAAGTCTGACTTCTTCCTACTCCATTCAAGCATGTACTAGGTATAAGCAAATTGATATTGGATTATGTGTAAAGTTATGTGTGTTGTCATATCAACTGTTTTACATGCTTGAAAGAATAAATCAAATCAAATCAAATCAAATATTTACCTTCCAGATTGGCTTTACAGTTCTTACTCTTAATAACACACAAAACCACCTCAAAGGCAAGCAAATCCTTGTGAATTAGGCCCTCTACTCAGAAAATGTGCTAAATTGATACTGCATCAAAAGGTGTTTAATTCATGCACCTGGCCATGTTACAGAGGCGAGTTTGTTTGAACTCCATTTGGCATTTATTCCCACTAATACGAAGGCTTACAGTGTGCGTACCTCCTGTTTGCTGAAGTCTCTGCCAGAGCATTTCAATAATCATGACAGAGTGGGAGGGTCACTCGGTGAAACTAATAAGGACCTCGATTTCGCATGCGATCCCACTGTGACTTTTATTTCCCAGTCCTGGAATCCAGAATCGGACTGATCGTAATCGCACATGGATTATGCTTTTTCCGCCGTTTTTTCTTTGTTTTTGCCTTAGAGGAAACTTTCCCAGCAACTGTAAGTACTCACAGACCAGATTAAATAAACAGTTCATTTGAATTGGAAATACCATTAAAACGCACACCTTTTAACTTTGATCGCTTGGCATCCCAGTGTTTTTATGCGCATTATCTTTCTAACTTCTCAGCCAAACGGGACACATGCCTTATAAACATACTGTTACTGATTTACTGACGCTCTCCTGCAGTAAACATCCACCGTATTGCATCACTTGTTAAGAGTAAACTACGAAATGTACCGGACACTGAAAGATTATGAACCGCTTCCCTAATCAATAAAAAAATTAAACCACCCAGCCAATCAGCGGTCGCGCAGAGAAACGCGTTTTCTTTGAATATTGCAAAGTATTACAGTGAAGTTGTTGCCCTTGACTGAGAGCGAATGATGGAAGGACAGGATAGAGTGACTTGTGTCCAAGGTTTAGCGTTGTGCCTTCTCCTTTCTCACGTTGTAACGTGAGACACGCTGTTTGTATCGATGCACTGTAGGTTTACAACAGATGTTGCAGCAAACTACTTGTGAGTTATCAGATTGATAAGAATCAGTTGTATAAAGATGCAGAATGACGGACTACAGGGCTCGCTCCAGAGCTGCGTGCGTTGCATGCATTTGCAGAAGTGACGGGAATATCGTTACCCCTTGGCAAAGGCGAGGAATGTGATACCTATGTAGTGCTACTTGTCTATGCTCCATGGTTGTAGTTGTAAGTGGCATGCTCACTTCATCTCCAAGCGCCATGATACTGTAGGCCTGCATGCAAAACTTGATGAACCAGTGGCAGAAGGCACGAGTGCGCGCAGCATAGATGGGAATTAATCACTGGGGCAAAATTAATTTGGGTAAGACAGTGGCACTTAAGGAGGGAGAAAAATACGATTTTTCACACTCTGTGAGCCTGTGCATATAAATTAAGTTAATGTGTTGTGGCTGTATTATGGTCTTTGGAGGTCAAGCTTAGTGCACAGCTCTGTCTTGAGCCATCCCTTCATCAGTGGTAATAGATAAATGTGCACCAGGAAGCTATGTTACCACAACCATACACCAGGCACTGGAAAAAAAATGTGGTTATTCCTTTTGACTTATGATTTGCCACTATGTTTTCTGTATGATTAACAAATTACCAATTAACAAGTGTAAAATAAAATGTAACAGAAATAAAACAAAAATTGTAAGGCGTTTATGAGGTTGTGTCATTCTATGTCCTTGAGAAAAAAAAAAGCCATTTCAAAATATGCTTTTCAAGTTTAGTAGTTAGCTGGCAGTACACTAATTTAGCAGGAATAGTAACCCTGAAAGGTCTTTAAGTGTCTAGACTGAGTTGGAATAATTGTACTGTACTTTAATGGGTGTACTTTGGAACAAACTCTTACCATCCGTCATGAGTTTTCCCTAAAAAAAAAATCATTGCCTTCATGCAGTGGCATGAGAACAATGCAGGAGATTTAAAGGGGTTCAGTGATTGAGCCTTACGTATAATGTCCTTGACCAAGACACTGTTGACAACTTCCAGATCAAAACACTAGTTAGTGTTTTATAGAGTAATACGGAGACAAAGATCAAGGCTTCAGCATTATGAGCTAGACCAGGTTAAACAATACATGAAAAGCCAGCAATCAATCCAGGTAGTAAACATTTCACACAATTACTCTGTGACACACGCTGTAAGATTAATTGGGAATAATTATGAATTTGCTAACTTGTATTTTTTTTACTGTAACATCATTTGCATTACTGTACATTATTTCGATCAAAGCAATACCCCCAATTGCGCTTTCTTTATCTTCTTGTACACAGTATTCTGAACAGACATCGGCACAGCACCACACATCATTTGTGGTGACGACATACACACCTAATGTGGAGAACCAGAGGCAGCTTGTCTTGTTATTCAACAACTGAAACTTAAAAAGAAACAAAGCTTAGAGTAAAATGATTTAGCTGCAGCACAGACATCTCCATTCATCACTGTATGGCAGGAAGGTCATGAAAACTAATGAATGAAATGAGAGTGGGGTTGTAAAATAGGACAATCAGGCATGATTAACACTTAAAATTGAATTTCACAATAATATAACTTTAAAATGTTATAAGGTAGATTTGAATAAAATTAAAATGACCAGATTTGAAGAGATTTGGTAGAGTATTGTGAAGTGTGATTTATTTATTTAGCTGTTGCACAGACATCAGTTTGCCTCAGGGCTAGGTTAGCTAAAAGGTGCTGTTTCATTCTGCAGAATAGCAAGCTTATAATAAAACCTAGCAGACCCACAATGTTTGCTTGTGTCAGCTAAGTTCTGTCTCTTAATTCTGCTTTTGTTGGCACATGCATGCAGAAAAACCTTTAACCAAAGTTAGCATAAGGCATGTGTTGAATCATTATTTCAATTTTGCAAAATATTAAGATTGACATTCTAGCATAAAAAAACATTATGTTTGTCTTCAGGTTTTCAGGTGGACTCTTTTCTAGTGTCAGAGCCATGATTTGCTTGCTAAGATGGATTACTTTCCTTTGGACTGTGAATTCAATCCCTTGCAGTTTTGGAATGGCAGTGAGTGAACAAACAGGTATGTGTGTTTGTTGTGCTCAACCCTTTGTCCGCCGACTTACATCTGTAAGCAATGGATTACCATTTCAAAAAACTGATAATGGTTTAGCATAAAAATACCACTTTTGGTCTTTTTAAAAAATGTTTTGATGTCAAAATAAAGCAGATGTATGGCAGATAGATAGATGTACACAAACGACCTCTTGGTGGCTTCCCTCTAGATGGCTCATGTCCCCTTCTGAGTGTAGAGGAACACAGGTTTTCTGATGTTTTGGATCGTCCCCTGGAAATCACAGGTATGTACTGAGTAAGGAGAGCTAATTTGCAAAAGAGTCAACATTAGTTTGTTTAAATCTAATAACGCATTCCAACTCTGTTCACAGGATATGATCTTAGAGAAACGTTTCTTCCCCAAAAGGGAACAGTCACAGAAGACCTGCCATCATTTCGTTTAGGAAGCAGTCGACTTATTAAGCCGACAAAGTGAGTAGTGCACTTTTATGTTAGCATGCACGTTTTTATTTTCATCATTGGGTTCTGAATATAGAGTTCTGGTTACTTCTTACAAGCAATATATTATATTGCAGGACAGTATGAAAAATAGCTCAAATATTACTGCAGTGATAGGTCTCTGTTGTGCAGAGTGTGATCAGGGTTTAAGTGCTTTTTTTTCCATGAGATCCAGTAATATTCTCAGAAAAAAAGGTCAGTGACAATTAGTCATAACTGGACTTCATCAATGGGGTGCACTGTTACACAGGACATCATTTGAGCAGAAATAATAATATATTGTGTTTATTCTAGAAATCTCTAAGTTTGACATATTATAAAGGAATGTAAAAAAGTATGAACCTGTATAATAACAGAGGATATAATAACTATGGTCCTATTTACTGAAGACACTTTATTCACCTGGTCAACTGATGGAACTGCACAATGCTGTCGTCATCTGCGATGATACTGATGGTTTGAACTTGATATGTTTATTTAGTTCTGTCAGGTTCATTAGGATGACCAGTGGACCATATGAAACTAGTAGTTGCCAAACTTGGCTTTACAGTGATGTTTTGAATTTTAAAGAATGTATTTTGAGATCTTCATTGTTTTGTGTCTTTAAATTGCAACTGTGAAAGAGAACACTGTCATTCTCCCACGGGGGGAGGATATTTTTAGTTTTTTTTTTTTTTTACATGACACTAAACATTTACTGCCCCTCTCTTGCTGTTAGGTGACAGAATCTTTGAGCCAGGTGATTTGTGATCTTCTTCCCTGTTCAGTCAGCCAGCTGAAAATACATCGACTTCAGCCATTCCCTCAGTCTGGGCCCATAGACACTGGTTCTCAATGACACTGCTGACAGTGTCATCGGTTATAGTGGTGGGACTGCGATCCCTCTCATATCCAATTATCTAAGTACTTTGACAGGCGATACTGCATGTCAGCTGAGGAGGGAAAGCGAGGGCAATTGCACAAGCAGGAGGCCTCTCCGCCCCTGCCACAGCCACTAAAACATAGCTCACTTAACTTGCAGGATATACAGCAATAGATGCTTGGCTTTCTAGATCTGGCTAATGTCTTAAGGGCTCTTTGGCAGAATAGACATTATAGTGTGTACAGTAGATCAGAGCTGACACACTCAAGGAACATTTGTGTGAGGTGATAAATTAGCCTACAAAATGCAACATGTATTCACAATGAACTGCTATTCAGTATTACAGTAAAGCTCAGTTGTTATTTATCTTTAGAAAAATATGTTTTCCCTTCTATACATCTTGTATGTCTCATATTTATATCTGAAAGATGTAACATTTATCATTAGCATTACATCACACATCTTATATAGATATACAGTCCACACTGTTAGGGGTTCACTGGAGTTTGCAAAAGTAGATTTTTTTTGGGTTAACATTAAGCAAAACAAGATCAATGACTGTTTTACACTATTCTGTTTTTCATTTTGTTGTATCTTTATTATGATAAAATAGCAAGGAGTCACTCTGGACTGCATTTACTGACATTAAAATAGTTTTTTAACAAAGCAAAATAGACCCAACAAAAAAGAATTTCAATCTTTCATTCATCTTTTTATACCTTTATGCATATCTAGACTTACAGTATATATGCTTTTTGTTGGCTGTACCCTAAAAACCCTCAGGCTTGTTGGTTATTTTTAGTCTTAAAGCTGAAGACAAATCAAATAAAATTGTCACTTGGCAGCTGTGAATGCTCTTTATGAACTGTTAGTGGAATTAACAGTTCCTTTAAATGTGATCACAGTGAGATAATGTGGTCTGTGTGACTATCAAACTAGTGACAAGTAAACTGTTAAATGGTAGTTTGTAGTTTCACTGTTTTATGGCTCTTCTGTCAGCTAATTAATCATATGGATGTAGTGCAGTCGATACAGTACAGCTGACCTACTCTTTTTGTTTAAGTCACAAGCACCTAAATTGTTTAGAGAAAATGCTGTTTAGAAGTGCCTCCCTGTATTTTTTCATTTTCTCTTTCGAAATATATTTTATAACCATATAATGTATGTTAATGTCAGTTGCCTTTTATCCTGTGGCCTCACATGTAATCTCAGCGCAAAGTGTTTTAACTAACCTGTGCTGTCGAATGCATATTGAATGATTTTATTTTTTTTTTAAGTCATAGCAACATTTTTGATTCAACTGTTTTTTTTTTCAAATGAACACGTACATTTAGTTAAAAATTCTGATGTTAATCAGATGTAACAAATTACTTGAAATGCTACGACATTGCATGTAATGTTATCTCTTTGTGCAGAGAAGCACTTATTTACACCAGAATGATGCTAACATAGCAGTCATAGCAATATCCTTCTTCCAGATCACAGGCATGCATTTGATTTGGCTCGATCAGTGGCAGTCTTCTGTTATGCTGGCAAGCCCAGCACGTTCTCATTTAAACAGGCAAGAGGACTCATGCTGAGAGGAAGTTATAGTTCTCACTAGCATGAATGATGCATTTAGCGTATAAACTGACACGGTTGATCCCATTTGATCTGTTGGAGGATTGAGTGTCAGTGATAGGGATGAGAGCCAACTAGGCTAACATCTGAAGTTTGATTGTTTCAGCTGGAGCAATCTGATTCCTCCAACTTGTGTTAAAAGTATCCTACTGGACAGGATTTCAAACAAACCAAGACACTAAAGCCGCTACCAGGAGATTCTCTATCAGACCGGTAGTGTTGCTGTGACATTCTGTCAAACCATTGCCTTTGATTATACAAGGGGTAGTTTCAGCCAAGCAAATATACATGGACAAAGACATGTTCCAAGACTGGTGACAGTTTCCAGAAACCACACTCCTGTGGCAGCCCTGGTGTTGCGCTGAATTTTTTTCTTCTGATTATAATTATGTATATTGTATTTTGCAATGTACGGCTCATATGCACAACTGCTGTCTGAAAGACATGTTACTCAGAGATGTTGCCTATTGTTTTTTCTCACTGCTGTGGCTGCTTCAGTAATTTGGCTTAGAACCAGCTCCTGCTGCTTCACATTGTAAAATACAATTCTATAGTAGACAGAAATCTCATGACTTGCATTGGAACTTAACACTGCTTTTGAATGAAATCCAGGAGGCAGTTACATTTCTTCCAAAACATATTTGCCAGTGCAAATTAGTTCTGTGTAAATGAAACTTGTCAGCAACTGGGTTGTAGCACAGGGTAAATAGATGCAGATCCTTTTGATCCACCCACTGTCATTTAATTAAACAGAGAGTAGCACAAAGACACAAAGAGTAGAAAACAGAAAAAAGTCCTACTGTGTACATTACAGAAAATCTTGTTATGGTAAACCTAATTTTTAATGCTCCATAAGCAGTGTAGTTCATAAGCTCTTGGAGTTCTCTTCTACATTTTTTCTTTATATTATTCCCTGCCTCTTATAATAATGGGCAATACATCTGGTACACCCCTCCTTGAACC